TGTCCAATTTGTCATATCGGTCAGATCGGCCAAACATTTCAAATCACATGATTGGTTGTAGTTGATCGGCGCAGCATGGATCACGCCTTCAACGTCAATTCAGTATTTGTCACAATCAAAATATAACAAAGCAAAGGCACTCAAAACATTCACTGACGAGGGTAATGGCGAAATTGCTTCTCGGCGGATTTAAATTAGCAGGTAAATTCTTTTAATCATGGTGTGAACGGGGTGCCTGCTTAGTTGTCGCTCATTTAAAGCAGTTTTACTGAGCCACGAAATAGTACTATCAACTGGAGCACAGATGGCCTGCTCAGCTGGTGGATAGTCGAAAGTTATTACTAATTTTCAAAATTTTCAGTCTAGGATCCTAAACTTGATCGTAAAAAGAAAAAAAAAATAAATAAATAATGGAAAAAGAAGCGCAAATTTACATCCATCAATCGAATCTAAATGTGTGGACTTTTAATAAATGAAGCACATTTAAAAGTGTAATTTGGCTGCCAGATGTAAATCTTTTTTTTGATTATAATTTCATACCTCCAAAAAAAAATAAAATCCTCAACAAAGGATTTGTTCACTGAAATTTCAATTTACTTATTGTATTATCGTTATTGTACGAACAGGAGGACGAAGATCTTATTAGCCTATCGTCTGAGGTGTATAGCCCAAGGTATGATAGGTCAAGCACTCCTACCCTTCAAATATACTGACTTGCTTAATCGATTAAAAACGTGTCTATTAAAGTTAATTTGTATTCCTGTAAGTATATTATTAACATTCCTAACTAATGAAATTTGAAAAAGTCATTAAGTAGCAGTATTTATGACATTGAGCAAGTAGAACAAACTGATAGCATTTCACTTTCATCTATACATGTTGTTCTAATGGGAGAAAGAAAAAGAAACCATTTGAAATTGAGATGATTTTTTCAGATCATGTAAAAGACGCCTAAAGTTTGATAGCATAGAAGCGGGACGTAAATTGGAAGGGGAGTTAAAGTTATGTCAAAAAAAAATATCAATAAATAAATTACTTCTTTTATTATTCCAAATATTACTAGTATATTTTATTTTCTTGCGATTTTTCTAAGACTATGTTTAGATTAGAATAAATAAAGTGGAAGCATTTGATTATAATAATACATTAAATATTTGGTGAAAATTAAAAAAAAAAAAAGATTAGAACGTGAAGGTAATAAGTTATTCTTTACATATTTTAATAAAAAAAATCGCCGCCGCCGCCACAAAATCTATAAATTTTTTGCTTATTTTTTATCATCCATTATTCGTCACTTTCGGCCAAGTTCCATAAAGCCGAATTTATTTGTCACAGATATAACATTTTTCCTCCCTTCCTAGAGTATAGGGAAAACCAGTACGGTACGGTTTTCCCTATACTCCAATTAGGAAACGGTTCGGAAACCGTCGTTAAGTCTGGAGCACAAGTGTAACGAAAAGGGGTCAACCATGTTCAGCGGGACATGTTTGTTGTCGCATAGTCTAGTCCTTAGCTACACTTGCTCATTACATCAAATTCAACAACAGTTTTTACACTATGGAAATCAATCAAATTAGTAATTTAGTACAAAGACAATTAAACTTCTATTTTTTCGCTAGGATCGATCTTTCTGTTTCTGATGCAAATCTATATAAATCCTGAACAGATCATTGCCTGAAATAAACTCGCATTCTTTTAGAATTTTCGATGGAATTCTTTTTAAGAATTCGGAAATTTCCTTTTGAATATTAAGTCATTTTAAGAACAAAAAGTATATATAGGTGGTTTTGAATGCCTTAGACGAATTTGCAAAAATAATCATGAATCAACGTAAAATCGACTTTTTAATTTCAAATGACACTTCAAGTCAGCAAATGCAAACCGAACTTGAATTAATCAAATATAAATTTGATAAATGTATTGATTGTAAAAGAAGAAGAAAGCATTCTGAAGAATATCATAAGCTTTGCAAGCTTTGCCGTACTCGTTATAAATCAAATGCAATAATCATTAATCCAAGTGGAAACAAAATTATTGACGATTTTATCAAATATATTCATATTACTTTTAGTCATTACGATTGGAGTAGAATGGAGTTTGTTCCATATGATCAATTCAAAAAAATAGAATTTATTGGTGAGGGAGGATTTAGTAAAGTTTATAAAGCTACTTGGATTGATGGTCCAATAAATTGGAATAAAGAAGAAAAAAAATATATTCGGGTTCCTAATAAAGGAGTTGCTCTTAAGAAACTTAACAATTCTAAAAACTTTACTTCTAAGGAGTTAAACGAGGTATATATAAGTTTATTTAACTTATTTCTTTATTTATTAATATATACTAAGTTAATAATCTTTTTTTTTTCAGCTTAAAATATTTTATCAATTAATAAATAGAAATGATAGAATTATTTCGTATTATGGAATTACGCAAGATCCTAATACTAAAGAATTTGTGATAATTATGGAATATTGTAAGACAGGAGATCTATCCTATTATATAGCTAATGATTTTTTTAATATTAGTTGGGATGCAAAGTTATATCATTTATGGAATATTGCACATGGCCTATTAAATATTCATAAAAAGAGTATTATCCACCGTGATTTTCATAGTGGAAATATTTTGATAAAAAATAGTAATACTATTAGAATAGGTGATTTAGGATTAAGTAAATCTGCTACTGAAGCCGAAGATAATGAAACATATGGGATTATTCCTTATGTGGCCCCAGAAGTTCTTCAAGGACAAAAATATACTAAAGCATCAGATGTTTATAGTTTTGGTATGATTATGTGGGAATGTATGACAGGTAGAAGACCTTTTTGGGATCGTGCTCATGATATTGAGCTGATTATTGATATTTGTGATGGCTTACGTCCTCCAACAAGTAATATTAACGCACCTGAAGGTTATATTGAGATAATGAAAGAATGCTGGGACCCTGATCCAAGAAAAAGGCAAACGGCTGAGAGTATTTATAATAGAATCGATAGGATTTTAAATCTTGAATATAATAATCCAACAGAAATTGTAAAATCATCAAAAATTGGACCTATAACAACAAACAATCCAGGCGCTATTTATAAGAGTAGATTTTTAAGTAGCATGATAAACTCCGCAGAATCCACAAGAATTTTACGAAGTCAATCAATTTCTTCGGATTTTGGTAATTAAAAATTAAATTTTTATTTAAAATTACACATTTTGAATTGATAAAATTTTTATTAACCTTTTTTCCTTTTTTAAAAAATAAGGCCAAAGAAAGTTTGAAAGCGAAATAGTTGAAAATAATGATGGTATAGTAATTTCAATAAATTTATACTTTTCAAAAAATCAACATTAATATATTGAATGATTTTATAGATAAAAGCAATAAAAAAGTTAAATTATTGGAAGATAAAACTTATGTGTCGAAAAAATTGGAATTTGATATTTAATTTGTATAAAGTACAAATACGTAATATGTAGCAAAAACTTAATTATTATTCCTTAAGTATGCGAAAAAATGTTATACTGTATAATATTGTAATTATTTCTTTTATATCATAAACAAGTTTATCATGATAGAAACTTGAATAAAACTTATTGTAAGATTTTTTATTTACCGGAATTTTCGATAATTTTTGTTTCAAGCTTACTTTATTTGTCCGTTATATCTAATTGAAAAAAATATTATCGATTAGATTAGTTGCAGATCTGCAGAATTAGAATTTTTGGCCAGAATTAAAACCGAATTTATGGCTTTTAATTCGCGCTGTTTAATTATAAATTATAGATTGTGGGGTCGGGTTTCCGAGGCGGGGAAATTCGTCCTCCAGGATTAATCTTTTTAAAAACCACGAATAGAGTTTTTCAATAAGATTAAATAAAAAAACATTTTTTAGAAAACTAAGAATAAAAAAAAACTCACACATACCAAGCTTTACCTTTTAAAAATCTGAAATTAAAAAATCAATTGTTTCAACTTTTTGTATATCAGACGTGTCACGTAGAGAATGATCCTATTGTTCTATGTATGAAACATTTCAAAATATCGTTTCTATGCCAAGGACCGCCGTTTTCATTAACTTATCCAACTCGCTTTTTTAAAACCCAGTCCTTCGCCTAATTCTTTTATTTTTCATACATCTTTGTTTTCATCCTCGGTAGCTGCTTTATTAGATAGTTCTATATATCCTTCTATTTTCATTTAATCTTTTTTTTTTTTTTTTATAAAAGTCGCTGCTGGTAATTTTAGAATTGTAATATAAAGTAATTAGTAAATTTATTAATGTCATAAGTTTGGACATAAAGTCCCCAAGTTTAGTTAACTAGAGATGGAACTGGCAAAAACATCAACCAGTGTAATTTGCAAATGCAAGCATGTCACTTATTCAGTAAAGCTTGTAGTATACTGTACGGTGTGTTATTCATAACCACCGTACGGGCTTATTTGAAATCCTAAACTTTTTATCAATTATTTTTCCTTAATTTCTATTAAGCTTTAACATTATTCTTAAACAAATATGCCATGCAAATAATAGAATTATCAAATAAATTTTGTTAAAATGTAAGAATTTAAGAATTTTCAGTATCCAAGCAAAATTTTACTTGAAAATCATTCTTATAACGATTGAAACTATTGAATTATTTATTACAATATGTTAATAATGTAATGCCAATTTCTTAAAACGTAATTCCTTATAATTTTATGATAACTTTTTATTTAATATATTTATATTGCTTATAGTAAAGCATCTTAAGTTCATTATACAAAAACTATGTAATAAGAAATTAATGCTTTATTAAAGTAGAAATTTAGAAAAATAAAGATGAAACTTCATATAGAAACAAATTATTTTTAATATTATATTTTAGTTAACACAAACGAACTCAGCATGATCCTATCCTATAGGGCCATGTTGTAAAAATTAGCAAATAAAAAAAGTATGCCTCCGAAATACAAAATATTTACATATTAATTAAACGTTATAAATTTATTTCGATCAAAAATTAAAATCACTAATTTTATGTAAATAAAAATTTTTCGTTAAAAGTTTATCCTCCATATTATTTATTATGAATGAAGTTGAAGTAAGATTGAATTTAAAAGGGATTGATGAATTTTCTAAATGCTTAAATTATAATTATAATTATTAAGATTCATGGTAAAAGTCGATGTTAAATTTTATATAATATACATCTTGATCAATAAATTATTACAAAATAATTGATATACATTGCGTTATAAAATATTTAAATTTGAGAAATTGTGTTTTTTTGCGCGTCGGCAGTATCACCCGATAGACTCGTGTATCATATTAATTTGTGACTCTACAAATGACATAATAATAGTATTACCATAAATTGATTTTATTTAATTTGATATTATTTTATCATCATAGTTAATATTCTTATGAAGTAGTATAAGTGAATAAACTTACTTTTATAAAATACTAAATTGTTAAAATCATTCAAATCTGATGAATCTTTTAGCGACAGTATATAATAAAATAATTTAAAAATCTTTTTTTTTTTTTTTACGATGTGGTACTGTAATAATTTTTAATTTTATCAACTTTGTAATTAAACTATTACTATCCCTCGTAGTTCTATTTCAAACCCGATTGAATCGAACTTTCCCTCCAATGTACCCAAAAAAGTAATCTAATGATTACATTTTAATTAAAAAGTTAAAAACTTAAAATAAATCAAAAATGCTAAATAAACAACTCCAAATATAATGAATAGTTACTCCCTCTCTTATAAGCAACACAAAATTTTTGTTAAGTCCGAAGATACTAATTAACTTATTTAAAAATCCTCCTCTATTATTTTTTTTTGCAGAATTTTTTTTTTTTGGTCCTGAAGGTTGTGACTATAATAGAGATTGACTGTAAATTTAAGAATAAAATAATCTATGATATAGGTGAAGAAATGAAAAGAAATTAATGTTGTGTTGAAAAGTAATAATTATGAAATTGAAAATAAGGTATAATTTAATCATATGTATACAGTATCTTCTAAATATTTATTTAATAATAAATAAGGTGTTGAAAAAGGGAAGATCAAGAATCACGCTCTTTTGTTGTAATAGGATGCTTGATAAAGAATATTTGTGCAACCTTCAAAAAGAATAAAAAATTTCGCAGAATCGCTAATGCTGTAATGGAGGTAAGATACTTTATGAAAAGCCTCTTTACTATTAATAAAATTATAAATACAGTAAGTAATGTGATTTTATTTTATCTTTACCAAATCTAACTTCATTAGTATTTTTCCGAACAAATTACCAGAAAACTTCTATATTAAGAAATTAAATTTATACACATTTATCATCATTTTGTGATATTTGTTTTTTTAGAAAAATATAATATTTATTTTTTAAAAGATGTTTTAATACATACCTTGACATCATCCCGTAAAAGTTTGCCTTTTTGTTTTAATAGAATGTTAATTGAGTTTAAAAAGAATTCATTTACGGACAAACAATGAATCAAATATTATAATAATTAAGAACCAATCAAACAAACGGCAAACTTTTTTTTTTTGATGTTTGTTTCTTGCATAGAATTATTATAAACCATCATGCATAAACCACATACATACATATTACGATTAATGTCATTATTATGGAAGTTTATTATAGAAGTTGATTGTTTGGGATTCCTTTGTTACAAGATACTTTCACATCTGAAAACAAATCTAAAAAAACGATTTTTTTAATAAGCAGTAAAAGAGACTTTTTTTATTTTGTGAGGAAAAAATTGGAATTACATTCAAGATTAAAATGGCCTAAAGCCGGTATGCGTAATCCTTCATAGCCGTATTTGGTCTAGCTTTTAACTCTACACATTAAGTCAAAATTTTTCAGTGTGCATTGTGTGCAACATGACTTCTCGTTAGATGATTATACATTGCATAAAGTAAAAACATTTATAATTTTACCAATAACTGAACAAACAATGTTAGTCTTATCAGATGCGATTAAATTATGTAAGATAATATTTTATTACGTTAATATCCAACAAAAAGAAGAAATTTGTAAAATTGACCTCGTATAATAAACTTTGTCGTTTGAAATAGTTTCGTACCGATCGATTCAGACAAAACAATAATCGTTCTCGAAATTTTGCTGCGCCACGCACATTAAATTCGTACAATTTACAAATGATTTTTTTTTTCGATATTTTTGTTTTTGGAAATTTTCTATAAAGCGGGAAGGGTAAAGATAATAAAGGAATATCCCGCAAAATTACAACAAATACAATTCGTGTGGTGATCTTTCATCAATTTGTTCGTAAAGTTACACGATCAATCAAAATCCAAAGCGTCGGTTACCAAATCCGGGATGTTTTGTATTAAAAATTTACAAATTAGGTCATCATAGGTCACCATAGGTTTATCATCCATGCACCTGTATCGAATAAAAAATCAGTTTTTTAAAGTCACCGTGAAATAAATTTTAATGCGTGTAATACAATTATCATTTTCGTTACGAAAATTCGGAATTTCGAAGTTATTTGAATGAATTTTAATTGGTGTTTGTAAACTTGTGAAAATTAAATAAATTACAACAGATATTACATTATGCCTTGCGAAACGGTTGAAAATTTGCAGGGTGGAAATTCAAAATTCAATGATGAAAAGATGCCGTGTTTAAAGGAGATGGATAATAGATGGCGACATCTTTTGTGAATTACAAATATTAATCATGTTAAAAGGATTTTCGGAAAAAAAAAACTGACACGTGATTTCAGCTACTCGGCTTAGTCGGCAGTTTTCGTATTTTGCCTTCTGTATACATTTTTTTTACGGGCTTTTAATAAACACCATTATTATTATGCGTCTTGGTGAGATGTACCCTTTTGAACTCCGCTCTCGCAAACTCCCGGTGGTCGTTACCGACCAACTTTTTAATTAATCTATCTTGAAATTCTGCATAAACGGAAAATATGGATATAAAACAATGATTAATGCTATCACGTGATCGGGCAGTCCTAAAAAAAAAACGTATGCACCTTTTTTTAAATTCGTTCAATTATTTGTAACTCTATTCTCTTTTATATTTGATCAACAGTTACACGCATATATTGATTTATATTAGTTGCATAAAAAATGAAAAATTTAAAAAGCAACTTTGTATAATGTTTGCGCATTTTTTTTATCTTTTTAATCATCAAAATTAGTCCTTCCTTTCCGTTCTCCTTTCCATTTTAATTTACCTTCCTTTTCTCCTCACCCTTCCTTTTTTTTCGATTCCCTACTAACCCTTCCTTCCTTTCTTCCTTCATTCTTTCCTCCTTTCCTTCTTCCTTCTTCCTTCTTTCTCCTTTCTCCTTCCCTTTTACTTTCGTTGATATAAGAATTTTTCACATGAAAACTAAAATATGAGATTGAGATCTTTAAGTCTCATAACCGCTCTAATTATTCTGTTAGTGTTAGGCGAAAATGGTTGGTTAATGGTTATCAATTAGGCCTAAAATAAATTCTCATCTCATTAACGTCACGTTTATTTTAATTTGAAACAGGTTTTACACATGCTCTTCATAATAATAAAATAATAAATCGCTCTCGGACGAGGATTATCCTAAAGAAACGTTACAAATCAGACCACACGATGAATTTGCGGCGCAGTCAAGAAGATGATAGTATTGTCGGTAAGTAAGGAAAAGTTTTTATTGACCGCTTCGCATTAAATTGAAAAAAATTTTTTTTTATTTGTTCATTTCATCAATTCATTTCTTTCTTTTTTTTTTCCTTTCCGGAATCTTGTAGTACCCTTAAATGAAAATGGTAATGAAGAAAATTTTATGTAACTTTCTTTGCTTTTTTATCCTCCGTAATCCGATTTGGATGAAAGACAAAATGAATTAATTAATTTATTTCAAATTTAAAAGGAACGGAAATTTCGATAACGTCGACTGGCTCGGAAGCTACGGCAACTGTTAAATTATCAGAATCATTACCAACAGAAAAAATAATAAATTCACCTGAACCAACTCCTATAACAACATCATCAAATCAAGAACCATTCTTTCCAACCGAAACATTGTATACATTAAAATCAATAACGATTACAAACAAACCCTCAACTGTTACAGCTAATCCTAATACTAAAACTGAAATACTAACCACAATTACAACGATCATAAATGGAACATTAACTACATTAACATCTACGATCAAAGTACCAATTCCAACCGATATACCAACCGATCCTACTCCAGCTCCAACGAAAGATACACCACCACCTAAAGATCCAGGTGTTGAAAAATCTCCACCAAAAGATGGAAAAACTCTTCCGGATAAAGATGGAGATGATGATACATCAAATACACCGGAAGAAGATGACGATAATGATACAGATAAAAATTCAAATCCTGTAATACCTGAAAAAAATGACAAGGAACCTGAAGTTTCCAAAGACCCAGAAGAACCTAAAGTTGTGGGAGAAGTACCGGTGGGTGATAAAAAACCTGGAGAGGCTAAATCACCAAAAGGCGGCAAAAAAAATAAAGTGCCAAAAGGGACTAAAGAACCTAAGGTTCCGGAAGAAGGTGGGGTGCCAAAGAAACTAAACGTTCCCGGAAATGGTGGGGTGCCAGGGGGTGGTAAGGAACCCAAAGTTGCCGGGGCTCCAGGGGATGGTAAAGAACCCAATGTTCCCGGAGATAGTGGGGTTCCAGCGGGTGGAAAGGAACCCAATGTTCCCGGAGATGGTGGGATTCCAGCGGGTGGTAAGGAACCCAATGTTCCTGTACCTGGAGAACCAGGCGGTGGCAAAGAACCAGAAGTTCCAGTGAATGGTGGTGCACCCGTTGGTAACAAAGAACCAGGTGTGCCGCCGGGAGAGCCAGAAACATCAGATGGTCAAGGATCAAAAACGCTGTCGCCGGGAGGATCTAAAGGAAATAAACCAGATGATGATACGGGAAACAGTCATATTTTGGGACCGGTAATTGGTGGTATTTTAGCGGGTATAGCAGCGATTGGAATAATAGCAATAATATTATGTAAAAGGAACAAAACATGTACAGATAAGGAACAAGTGGAATTAACAGCGAGTGATTTAATGGAATCAGGTCAACCTTCTCCAGCAGCTCCACCGGAAGTTTATCTTCGACAACAAAATCGAACTAGCGCAAATTCCTCCATTGTATCAACCATATCTTCATCATCATTGAGAATTATTTCTGCAATAAAAAATTCTGTTTCTAATATCCTTCCAATACCAAATGATGCTGCCAATCTTACCGGTCGAAGCAAATTTATTGAACAAATGTAAGAAATTGCTTGTAATTTATTCATTCATTAATAATTTTTCAATTCATGTATATTAGTACAACACCGCCAATGGCTTTATATATATGTATACAATTTATTTAGATAGATTTTAGTTAGTTAGAAGGTGAAGAATTTGCTCTTAATGTGACTACATGGAAAAAATTATTTATTAATTTAATAATATAATAATAGTATTCATAAAAAATAAATAGTGAGGTGTTATTAATTTTCATTACCATTAATATATTTGTATGTAGCTTTATTGTAAAACACGATTGCAAAATAATTTATAATAACTAAAATTGTAAAATATTTAATTTATTAATTCTTTTAATTTTTGCCTTGCAAATGTTAATAAAGCGATTATCCTTAAAATGAAATTGTTAATGTGGTGTGGAAATGTTATTCTTAAAGTAATTTATGTTGTGGACCTTGATGTAGATGAAACGTTTGATAATAAAGTCTTGCTTAAATTGCTAGACAGTGATAACTAATTTAAATATATATAGGGCCGAATGTTAAAATTCTTTCGTAATTGATAAATATAATAAATAAATTACATTTAATAAATTTATTATAGAGTTTAATAATGATAATTTTATCGTAAACTTATTACATTATTTGGCATATTAGTTCGAACCGAACAGTTTTATCTTTTGAGTATCGATTATCTTGATCTTAGATTACCCAAAACCAATAAAATGAATAAAATAACTCAAAGCCTGTTCTACATTTGAGTAGTTATATTCATTCAACAGTATAGTGGTATTAACAAACTCGTAATCTTCAGAGTTCAAATAACTATTCTATAAGATTTACTTAAAATATCGAATGAAAAAGCACTTTAAAATTGAAACGATTGATGAGAAAATTATATTAGCTTTGTGTCCTTATCATATTCAAAATATATCATAAAGTTGATCAGAATCGTATAAGCGTTAAATATAGCCACCAACGTTTAGATTTTTTGAAATATTTATTAGCAATTTATTTCTGAAGTTTGTTCTTTGGATTATAAATATAAAATCAATATAATAATTTAAACTTACGTGGATGTTGAAATAATTATTGATCAGTTCATATAAGCATGGTTTGGGACTAGGTTAAATTGAGTATATTTTGTATGACAAATCTCGTCTTAAAAACAAAACATCCTACTGTTCTGTATAAAGCTTAGAACACTCAGATTTAGTGCAAGTTTAACTAGAGGTGAAATTTAGCAATTGAATTAAATAATCTATGGATTAGTTCATTAAGCTCGGTTATTCTCATGTTGTTGATATAATTTAAATATTTTACTAAATTGCAAGGAAAACAAATTTTACTCTTCTGTGCTTTTATCGGATAGTTTGAAGTGAAAATGCTTTTTTCATTAAGATTGCGAAACCAAATTCTTTGAATTTTTTTTAGTGATTTAAGGGAGCAGTGTTTCGTTCTGATAGGTTATTTTAAATTTATTAATTTAAAACAATGTTGAATTGAATTATTTTATTCATCACGAACTGGAATAAAATTTAATGCTCAGAGGAAATATAGAATGTATCCATTCAAGCTAAATTAAGTTTAATCGAAAATTTATTTGATGTTACTCAAAATATATTAAAATTATTACTGCGATAATAAACAAACAGCGCATAGTATTTGCATAAAGCATTTCTTGCGTCATTAATTTGTTTTTCGGTTAGATCATTCATTGGTTCACATGACTTTAAAGCCTAAATAATTGTGAGCGCGGGAGGATATTTTTTTTTAAGAAACCGATGATCAAAATTGCGTCGACATCCTTTTCTGGATCTACTTAATTTTTCTACAAGGTGAATATTATTAATTCTCCATGAATATCTTTGCGTTTTGACAATTTTAGAGTATTCCATATTATTATTATTCACCGCAACTTTAAACAATGGAAAGAAACTCTTGCTGTTTTTCATGATAAACGATTTAATAGATGGAATATTTATTAATTTAGTTTCAACAATTTCTCTTAATTCAAAACAAAATTTGATTTTTTTCTTTTTAAACTAGATAATTTCAAAGGTTGGAGTTATTGTCGATCGCACGTAATTTGGTATGGCATAAAAATAAAATATGGGGCTAAATATGGCGTAAATTACGTAATGATAAAAAAATTTTCCCCCAAACATATAATACTGTATATTTTTTTTTTTAAAAAAAAAAAAAAATGACGATATATTCTTTGCCCGAAGATTGCTTTTATGAGATTTTTAAACACGTTAAAGATGACACGACATTACTTTACAATTGCCTATTCGCAAATCGATTTTTATGTAGAATTATCATTCCTTTTCTTTATCAAAATCCATTCTCCGTAGTAAACGGTCTTAGACAATATTATTGTTTAACAAGAACGTATCTTTCTTGCCTTGATGATGAAGAAAGGAATCATTTAAAAAAACATTTTATAAAGTTTCCACAAGGGTCGAATTCACTTTTTGATTACGCAAAGTATTTGGAAGAAATTCCAAATCTTACGATCGCAGCGGAATGTTGGCTTATCTATTTGAATTATTCGAGTGAAGAAAAAATATATATAAATTATAATGAGTATAATAAACAATTGGATAAAGAAAAGAAATTGATCTTACAGGAAATACTTTTTCATTTATTCTTGAGAAAAATCAAGAATTGCAAGATGTTAAATATTCAGGCAAACTTATTTGACAAAAACGTCTTTAACATAAAATTTTTCAAAGAGATTATCTCTCATAACTCAAGTATAACATCATTACGTTTAATCATTTCTGAAGAAGAAATAAACGATTCAAATGAGGAATTATTTCTTAAATTCATTTCATTACTTACAAAAAAATGTTTTGACATTGAAGAATTGGAAGTCACGACATTTTATTTTTATTATAATTCAATCTTGCAAGGATTAATCGAGATATTAATTCAAAATCAAAAGAATTTCAAAAGCGTTAGCTTATCATACCCAAATGATCGTTCTTTAAACGATATTATTAAAATAATAGAAATGAAAAGGCACACTCTTACAACGATTCATATAGATAATTCTTATAACTTTATTAATCAAAATGTTTTCAAAGCTATAGCGAATTGTGAAAAGGTTGAGAAATTGGAATTTATCAATGTTAAAGGATTAGGGTTATTAAAGACTAGGGAAATATTTTGCAATTCAACATTTGAGTTAAAGGAGTTTATTAACCTTTATGATAGATTAACCCCATTTTTTCACATTCGTCTCATACGTAAATTCGGTCATTCATTAAATAGATTATCGCTTTATAAAGTGACACAGTTAACTATTAGGCAAATTTCAGAACTTTGTTTAAATCTTAAAATTTTGCAAATCGTTTGTAAGGATATCAATTTGTCAGCTTATCAATACTTTAGGAATATGAAGATTCAACAGCTCATCATTTATTCCGAAGAACATTTGTTATCAAATTATTACAGCAACATCTTTAAGAGTATAGCTGAAAATTTGCCTGATTCCCTAACCACCTTTACGATTTACATAAAAGATCCAAACTCTATATTTTTAAGTGAGAATAATTGCATTAGTTTTGATAATTTGGAAATGTTTTTAAATCATTATAAAGTTGGTTTATATACTTTAAACTGTAACTTCAATTTAAGAATTGAAAATATTGAACAAATCCTTGATCATGTAAAAAAGCGGAAGAATTTGAGATATTTGGGTATTAGATCACCTCCTGGCTATTTATGGTTTAACAATGATAGGGTTAGGGTCAAGCAATTGTTAAATGAAATCAGAGAATATGATATTGAGATTAACACCATTAAAAATCATTTCTCTCTTTAGCTCAAAATAATTAATAATCAGTACTTTTAACGGTTTGAGACTTTGTTATGATATGATTATTATTAAAATAAGTCAGTAGCAAATACCGCGCTAAACTAAGCAAATTCAATATATAACTTACAGAAATCGATAAGATTTACTTTACAGATATTCTAGTTAAATGAATTTGTCAATATTGTTAGAAATTATTAAGTACTAATTTTTATTCGATAAATTTTTTGCTTTTATCTTAAAATATTTTATCAATTAAAAAACCAAATAAAATAATTAAACTTTTGCATGGTTATTTTAGTCAGACGATCATATTTCAAATGCAATTATACAAATATTCTTGTTTTAATTAAAGAAATTTATGTTCAAAGTTTAGAAATAAAATTTCAAAGTGTTAATTAACATTTAATTTTGCAAGAAATTATTATCTACGCGGTTTATCGAATTTTATCTACCCGTCATTATTGCACTTATGAAATGTTCAATAGATATAATGTCGTAATTTAAAAAGAAATGTATATATATTTATAAAGCCACTATTTTACCGAAGCTTAAGAAAATATTAATCTATAGAATAATCGATGATATCAACTTGCTCCTAAAATATACGGTATTTTTATTCATTGATAAAAACATATTTTACTCGTTTACCGCAATAAATGTTAGAATCCGTACTAAATGTCAAATTCATATTCTTTTGTTTTATATCCTAATAATTTAATTAATTTATTACTTTTGTCTAAAATAATAAAATTTAAAATATTGTTAATATTTTGAATTCGAATGTAAACAATTTAAGCTATACGTAAATTACCATTATATCCTTCAAACTGATTACTCTCAAACTTTCGTTTACCTTTTTTTTAAAAAAAGGAAAAAAGGTTAATAATATTAGCATATTCAAAATTTGTTATTTAACAAATTGTAAAATCAAATTTTAATTTTTAGTTACCAAAATCCGAAGAAATAGATTGACTTCGTAAACTTCTTGTGGATTCTGCGGAGTTTATCATGCTACTTAAAGATCTACTCTTATAAATAGCACCGGGATTGTTTATTGTTATAGGTCCAATTTCTGATGATTCTACAATACCTGTTGGATTTCTCCATTCAGATTTATGCATGTCCCAAATTCTACTTTTGATGCCACTAGCTGGCCGTTTATTTTGATCAGGGTCCCAACATTCTTTCATTAGCTCAATATAACCTTCAGGTGCTACAATATCAACTGTTGGAGGACGTAAGCCATCACAAATATCAATAATCAGCTCATTATCATGAGCACGATCCCAAAAAGGTCTTCTACCCGTCATATATTCCCACATAATCATACCAAAACTATAAATATCTGATTTTATGGTGTATTTTTGTCCTTGAAGAACCTCTGGAGCCATATATGGAATAATTCCATAAATTTCATTATCGTCAGCTTCAGTAGCCGATTTACTTAATCCTAAATCACCTATTCTAGTATATTTTGTATTTTCATTTCCATATTGCTTCATCAAAATATTTCCACTATGAAGATCACGGTGGATAATACTCTTACTATGAATAATTGATAAGCCATCTGCAATATCTCTTAAATGACGTAACTTTGTATTCCAACGAACATTAAAAAAATCTTTAGCTATATAATGGGATAGATCTCCTGTATTACAATAATCCATAATTATCACAAATTCTTTAGTATTAGGATCTTGCATAATTCCATAATACTTAATTAAAAACAATTCATTTCTTAATTGATAATATATTTTAAGCTAAAAAAGATTATTAACTTAGTATGTGTCATAATAAATAAAAAAGGAAAATTATATTTACCTCGTTTAACTCCTTAGAAGTAAAGTTATTAGAATTGTTAAGTTTCTTAAGAGCAACTTGTTTATTAGAATTCCGATTATATTTATGTTCTTTATAATTCCAACTCTTTATTGGACCATCAATCCAAGTAGCTTTATAAACTTTACTAAATCCTCCCTCACCAATGAATTCTATATTTTTGAATTGATCATATGGAACAAACTCCATTCTACCATTATCGTAACGATCAAAAGTAATATGAGTATATTTGATAAAATCGTCAATAATTTTGTTTCCACTTAAATTTATTGCAATTGATTTATAACAAGTACGGCAAAGCTTATGATTTTCTTCAGAAGGCTTTCTTCTTCTTTTACATTCAATGCATTTTTCAAATTTATATTTAACAACGGGTTGCATTTGCTGATCTGATGTGTCATTTTTAAGTTGATTCATGATAATTATGAAATTTCGCCATTCAAAAAACTGCCCTATTTATGAAAAGTTTCCACATTGCCTATTCAAGTTGGTGCAACAAAAAATGGTGGAACCTTATGGTGATGTTTGTAGCGCCCAAATGTGTTAATATCCGAAATGATCATTTCGAATATTCCAATCGAAATTCGCATTCGACATATTCAAATTTTTAAGTTTGAATTATAATTTTCTTTAATAATATAAAAGACAACCATAGAAGCGTTCACAAAGAACAAAACCGCCCCTTAGATATGATAATTGCATATAAATAAATGAATCATCATCGCTTATGTTACAAAAATGTAAAAAAAAGGGTCAAACTTACAATTTTTAAAGGATGTTTAGAAAAGAGAATTTGTTTTGAAGCAACGTGTCACCTCTTAATTTCGTAGAGAGGTAATTTTATTTGTATATGTAATTGTAATGTAACGGAAAAATAGAATAAAAATTGAATAAAGTTTTAAATCAAATAAAGAAATAATTTTATTAAAATGAATTATTAAATGAATACAATAAATGCAATTATTACTGCTCTGCCTGCGCTCTGTAATAGGCCTAAGAGAGAATAGAACTATCTAATTCTATCTAAAATAATCTTCCTTTTTATAATAAATTTCCTTCCTAAGGGAATTCTTGGCAAAGTTCACTTTCTTGCGGCTTGGATGACGGAAATGCTTATCGATTGATTCTTTATGTCAAAAAATGGTCATTTTGACATATACAATCCGACATCCCGAGGAGTCCAACAGATAGGTCAACAAATTGATCTTTAATGCCACGGCGATCAAATTTCGGTCGCAATCAAATTCCGAGTGTGACAAAACGCATTAATTATTTGAAATTGAATTATAAACCTACATTATCAAATAAATAGAACACAATTCTTTGTAACTCGTTTGACCAAAAATACTTATCAATATTCAAAAGAGAGTAATTCACGATTCTTGATTCAAAAAATTTTTTTTGGATTTAATTGAAAAGTTATTTTAATACTACCGAAGTGCCAATTCCTCATTACGCTAATAATAATTTAACGATTCATATCCTAATGTATTGGCCAATTTAACAACTTCATCGATTAATAATTCATATTAAAAAACATATACATTGACCTATATGTATTGCGTGAAAATCGGGAAAGATAACTTTGCGAGGTACAAAATGTTTGTCGTATTTTAGAGTCCACAAGTTTGTTCACGTGCGTAACTGAGGTCGTAAAGTATATTAATGCGCAGATAATATTCGTTCACGTGCCGGTAAGGCCGTAAAAAAAAAATGCAAACTTGTTGACGTTTCGAGATTCTAAAATAATAAGACCGTATCTAAATATAATAAAAAAATAATAATGAAGTGAAAAAATAACATTACATTCATCATTTCTTAATCCATTATGCATGCCAAATAATTTTATTCAAGCACCTCGATTAAAAGGGCTGAGTGAAGTGTTTCAAATTTGCAGTTTTATATTTAAATTTTTTTTCCAGTTTAATTTTCATCGTTTTTTCCCGACAAAAAAGAAATTCGAACCAGGTGATAAGAAATTTTCGTCGTTTTTAAAATTTTAAGCTTTTTTTAAAAGATTAAGTTTTGACTAAAAGAGAGTTTTTACACGAGTCTTGGTGATAGACTTATAGGCTCTACTTTCAAACCTTCCTTGTGTCATCATATAGACTCCACTTGTGATAACCAACTACACAATTGAATCGTTTATTTAAATATATCTTTTGGGAAAGGTATTTTTTTTTTTTTTTAAGATGTGGAACTGCCAGTAACTTTATTATATTTATAAAAGAAATACATAAGTACAATTAGAAAAATAAAAAAGAAAAAGTACTAGCTATCCCTTGTGATTATATTACAAATCCGTTTGAATCTACTTATCATCGTCTTTTCCCTCCAATAGTCCTACTAAATACATATTTAATGACTACTGTTATCACCAAAAAAAAAGAAAAAGAAAGAGTCAGTGCCTATCTAAAATCCAAAAAGAGTTTTCGCTAGGTGGAGCTATGTCTCCCTGTGATGAGATTGTATATTTGTAGAGTGACCTAGAAATTTATTAGCATTATGTTTAAATTTATCTTTTTTGTAATACCTAATGAACGTTCTTTGTCAATCATAAGTTGGCAATGGTGTTTCCAAATGTCATTATAAAGTTTTTTTATAAAAAAGTGAATAAGTTATAAGATAGTAGCAAAATATTTATCTTAATTTCTTGTGATTTTGTGAATAAAATTAACCAAAGAAGAAGGAATATGAAGTTGTATAATAGCAAGATAACCTCTAACTGTGATGAAAGAGATAGGAAGATGAGATCAAAAAGATCAAGAAGTTTAGGTAAGAAAGAAGGATCTTTTTTAGATTAGGAAAATCGTTAATTAGAAAAAACAGATAATCCTTTAAGCAGTTAATAACATTTTCCATTTTGGTAGAATAAGCATGACATGATCAAAGGTAAGAGAGAGTTTCAATAGCGATATCACAACTCACGCAATTCTAATTTTTATTAAGGTCTAGTCATAGTTTTTCAAGCCTAGCGAGTAAAGAAAGTTTATCAACAAAATTTTTTATTATGAATGATTTAAATCAAGCAGGATAAATGAAGTAATCATAGATGAAGAATCTATCAAAAGAATGTTCCAAATGGTAACCAATTAATATTTGATAAGTTAGTAAGGAAATAGAGATTCCTGTTTTAATTTAATGCGAGAAAATCACCAAAAGTATGAATATTCCAAAGATTTTTAAAGAATTGGCAGATTAAAGATTCGATAGGGATATCATAGTATTAAAAAATCAGGTTTCTAGAGCTAATACCAGATAATTTAAGTGAAAAGCAGGCAAATAACAGCCGCTTTTTGCTAAATAATCAGCAATATTATTGTGAGTATTTCTATTATATGCCTTCATTTTATGTAAAAAGATTGAAAGTTGTAAAGTATCTTTGATAAATTGAATAATATTCCAAGTCAGGTAGTTAGGGATTTTTTTAAGAAAGCGATTAGAGAGAGTAAAATAAGTGATGTATGAGTTGAAACCATGAATTAGAGTTTAATTATCAATATAAATATGTATTATAGTAGAGTGAAGAGAAACAATAAGAGCTATTAAGAAGAAAATGATCTCTGCACGAGTCAAGAAAGGCCAATTAATAACTGATGCTGAAAACTGATAATAAGAAGAATGTTTGTCAATGTAAAGCCAACCAATATCTATTTTGCATTCCTCAGATCTGGTATTAGTTAAAAATCCATTTGTTTATTTGATTAGTTTAGGAAAAAGTCAATCTTAAACACACTATTCACAGTAATACAAAAAGTATAAGTATTGTTGAAAATATCTAAGATACTTGATAAAAGAACTACTATGATCATCATTGATAAGTACAGTATGGTAGCAATAAATAAACCAGCCAGGGCATAACAATTTATCAAAAACGAGACCAAAGGAAGGTACTATCAAGATTGGATTCCAGAAGGCAATGAACTTTTGTTTATAATTAATATTAAAAGAGGTAATAGCTAAATGCTTAAATAATGAAAGTAGTTGGACTAATCTATATTTGGATTTGAGCAATCTAGTAGTAATATTATTTACCACTAGAGATTCTAAGTCAACAAAAAATTTTGAGTTTCATAATCTATTATTTTTATAAGCAAAATCCTTAATACACAAATCAGATTTGTCAATAATGTGTTGCCCAGAGACAGCTATAAGTTGTTCAAGGAAAATAAGATTGTGATTAGTAAGAACACATGCATATTTACATAAAATTTGTGTAAAAATAAATTACACGAAAGATGACTACCTCCTTTAATAGAGTTAATTAAAAATATAGAAGGTTGGAAAGATATATTAGTAGAAATAGAATAAATCAAGCTTAGTGTGATAATAAAATTATTGTGAGAACTACTATTAAAGTAACGTGTTCATCAAATCAAAGGTGAAAAAGATAAAGAACAAAGTAATTGTAATTGAAATAGCCTAATGAAAGATATTATTAAATTGATAAAGTAAGTTACTGGATAAAAATTTAATTTGTAATAACCAAAGATTATTTAAATTATAGAATTGTTTGAAATCCAAAAGAACAGTTGAAAGAGTGAGAGCAACTTTGTTTTTTCTTTTAAAAAGTGAGCGAAAAGTTTATCACATTCTGTTTTTAATAAAATATAAGTTTGATATGATATTTGGTAAGAGAGCATAAAACCATATTAATAATGTATGAAATCTGCTTATTAATAAATAGTTTGTAATATATAAAATTAATAAAGTGGCAGATGTCTTGTTTAATCTGATTTTTATGAATGAAGGTTAATGTTTACTGTTAATTTAGACATCAAGGAATCTAATAGAATCTAGTTCTGAAGTAATGTCAATGATAGAGGATTTGAAATTGAGATTTATAGGTGAAGAAGTTAAACGTGTAGTAGTGAGCAACTTAGATCTTTTTATTAAGAGTTAATCCAGTAAGATCATAGAATTCTTCTGCAACAGAAAGAATACATTCGAGATTATATTGACTGAGAGTATCTAATTAGTATCATTTATGAAAACTAGTGAAGATACCTTTGCTGATAAATAATTGGTTAAAAGAGTAGTAAAATTAGAGATCCATTCATATTTAATAGTATAACCTTTGTGAAGTGACACTACTTCACATAAAAGAGGATCTAAGTAAATGCATCAGAGCAAGGGAAAAATAACTTCCTCTTGGTCAATATCAATTTTGATATCATAATATTTTAAGATTTCATATACTGTAAAGATGGCATTTTTTTGAGCAGTGAAAAGATTAATAAGTAAATCGACTGCTTTATTAAGAATTTTGATCTGAGTGAACGCATGTTGAAGAAGGTTTTGGAGTAGAATCCAAATTATTTATTATTTTCATTGCCATCTTTGAGAAGCATATTAAAGATTTTAATAGGAGTTTCCATTGAGCCTTCAAGCAAACTAGTGAAATTACCTTTTTTGAGAATATTGTATTTGGTAATAATTCTTAACAGTTGATTATTAATAATTTTGACAAAACCTTTTTTAGCAGTTTCCAGAAGCATAATAGGTCAGGTCTTAGTGATATCACAATCCCAAGCCATTGATTTAGGAATTGGAAAAATATGAGCAAATTTCCATTTGTTGGAGATATCTTTAATAGAGAGACACATACAAATGAGTTGCCAAAGAAGATGTTATAATTTGGAACTTGAATGAATTAGCATTTTATTAGTAATACCAGATGGATTTGCAGCTTTATTCTTAGGAAGAGATCTAAGTATCATTAGCCATTCATCATATGTTAGTAGTTAAAGGAGGTTGCTATAACAACTATCATTGATGTGATCATTAGAAAAATATTGTTGAGCCTATCATGAAGATATAAATTGTATAGGAATCTCAGCTAAAGCATAATTCAGAAAATTTCTGATAATTGCTTTTTTGATTTTTTCTGAGTTTATAGTAAATCTTTTGGTATTATTGATTGGATTATTGATCAATAATAAATTTAATACTATAGTACTCTTTTTACGATTAAGAATTGAGTTAATCATTTTGGAAAAATCATTAAGGAGATTGTTAAAATATTTGTTGATAAGGTATAGAGTTTCAAAATTCAATTTGATATTTTATTTGATTTGATTCGATCAAATTCAAATCAAAAAATGATTTATTTGATTAAATCTAAATTAATGTTTGATTTGATTCGATCAAATTCAAATCAAATATTCAAATATTTGATTTAATTCAAATTAATAGTAAAGCCATCTCCAAAACTTCAGGGGTAGCTTTTACTAAGAAAACTATAGTAAAAGTGCTTTCGTGACTTTGGAAATGCCTTTTTTTACTAAAAAATTAATAGCAAAAAATGCTTTCATGACTTTGAAAATACTTTTTTTACTAAGAAAACTATAGTAAAAAGTGCCTTTACAACTTCAAAAATGCATTTTTTACTAAGAAAACCATAGTAAAATTGCCTCTACAGCTTCAGAAATACCTTTTTTACTAAAAAAAAAAAGCATAGTAAAAATGCCTTCATAGCTTTAGAGACATTATTTTACTAAGAAACATAGTAAAAAATGCCTCTGCAACTTCAGAGATGCTATTTTACTAAAAAACATATTAAAAAATGCTTTTGCAGCTTTAAAGATGCTATTTTACTAAGAAAACATAGTAAAAATGCATTCGCAACTTTAGAGATGCTATTTTATTAAGAAAACATAGTAAAAACGCCTTTGCAGCTTCAAAAACATTTTTTACTAAGAAACTTAGTAAAAAAAATGCATCTGCAGCTTCAAAACATTTTTTACTAAGAAACTTAATAAAAAAAATGCATCTGCAGCTTCAAAAACATTTTTTTACTAATAAAATTGTTACAAAACTGAAATAGCGATTATTACTAAGTTTTCTTAGTAAAACTGAAACTGCAGAGTTATTTTATTAAGTTTAAAAATTCACCTGTTACTAAACTTACTTTGTAAAAGCTATCTTTAAAATTTTTAGTACAATTACTAATAATTTTCTTAATTAAAATTTTAGAATAACTTTATTTTAATATATCATTGTAAAATTAAAAACTTTTATATTCAATTTAATTTGATTTAATTTGATTTGATTTGACAAATATTTGATTCAATATGATTTGATTTGATCAAATTTAAATTG